TAACATCCGTGTTGAACGCTTATGCTTCCCTGCTATAAGAGGGTTGCCATGTAGTGAAGGAATGAAGCGGTTACTTTCATGCAGCCTGGAACGTAGATGACAGCGGAGACGGTATATAGGCTTACAAGACTGAGAGCAATAATTCTGAGTCCGATAGAGCTCGACAGTCAAGGCGTGAAACTACCGGCCGGTTAATTTGTGTTTCAAACTCTACCACGTTTTTTAATGCACCTAGGCAATTTGGCAATACCTTAGTCTTCATGCCTCCGAGTTGTACCGAAAGAATGTCACAGCGAAACCGTTATTATTCATTCCGAGGATCACCCGGAATCTTTGGTGGAGCTATATAATGAATGAACTAATGGAACAAAGATCTTCAGAAGAGCACTGCTGAATAGAGGTGCTAGGGTTTCTTTTTCAGAAGCGCCGTGGACCCTCGGAATAGCATTCTGAAGGAGGTTATCATGGCATTGTACTTGGAGGTGTTCAGGAGGCTGGTTGAGTGGTGAGATCGTTTTTTCTTGACCTTAGAATGCCATAGCTACAGGCTTGGCAAGAAATGGTGTTATTGGTGACTGCTAACTGTTCACAAATCGTTGGTTGAGTTTTGGCTAGGTGTACGTATCTCTGACAATCGCCGACTTGATATGCAAGGCATCTCCTCAGTGGAAATGGAAGTCCAGTGTTGCCCCGGTCGTTTTACCTACAGCCAGAAGCGACCTGTTATGATCATCATCATCATCATCAACGACAGCATGACATCAGTGCTCAACACCAATGCTTCACTGCCGTACAGCCATGACTTATTTGAAAGCCTTATTGTAAAGAAAAGAATAAAGGTGGATGGGGGAGGGACTTAGTGCTAGCTTAACACAATCATTCCGAGGTGCCTACACCTCCAGACATTCATTCAGGCAATCTGGACAGAAACTGACAACAAGAACGCCACTGACAACGGTTGGCAGCCATATCTTGTAGTGTCTCCAACCAGGCACAGTGAGGATCACGCGGTCCACATCCTGGAAGGCGAGTAGCACCGACAGCACCCAAGCGTTTCGTCATCTCCTTCATACTCCTCTGCCAGGTCAAGGGTTGGCCACCTCTCTGTTTACGCCACTCCGAATCGGGTATAGAAAATAGTACTCTTTTCGGTAAACGATGATTCGGCATGCGTAAAACATGTCCCAACCAACACAGCTTCTGGTGCTGGACACATTCTTCAATGGAAGTACCCGTTACACAACCGAAAACACGCTTTCTAACCGCCTCGTTACGGATTCGCTGACACCAACCCAAACGAGTTATGGTTCTGAGACAACGATTGTCGAAAACCTGAA